TACAAATAAAGCAAATTGTCAGGTAATTTCAATTCAGTCTTCAAATCAATTTGTTCTCCTTTACATTTTAAGATTTTTCCTCAAATTAAACGGTAATTTATGAAACTTAGCTTAGTCTTAGAGCTTCGTTGAAAAGGAAAACAGTTCATGTTTTTAGCCAAAAAGTTAATTAAAGAAACAAAATTCGTAAACATTAAATATTCAAAGGAAACTTGCCGTATATTTCACGATTTCCCATAGTAAATCTATTCTTCTCATCTCTTCAAACAAAATTGCTTCAATTAAGCTTGTTGTATATGAAACGATTTTCCAAATATATGTCTTTTAAAATTGAAATCTTGCTCATCCCACTCCTACACGCAATCAGCCATATTTTAGAGATCAGTGAGGATGACCACCCACTCACCATCGTTGATGACCGACGCCCGCGATATTTGATAAACTTTAGACTTCGCTAATGCTTTCGTTTCCCCGGGTGTAAATAGTCGGGGGGAATTAATACCCTCGCACGGCGCTTCGCGCCGTCGGCTCGGGGATAATAATATTAATATAGTCTTTTACTCCCGTCTTATCATTTTAAATATTTTTTACTAAGATTAAGAGCGTGTGTTTTTTCGAAAAACGTTTTAATCATTTCATCCATTTGTTTGAAATCAAAATTTTAGGTATTCGTGATGTCAAGAGTAATGTGTTGTTTGTCAGCCATGACGGAAATGATCTTATTGATTGTGGTAACAAGACTATGCCATGTCGCAGTATTCGACATGCAGTGAAGATTTCTAATGACAGTGATCAAATTTACATTGCATATGCAAAAGGCAGACCTTATATGGAATGTGAAAATATGACGAAATCAACATGTCCCATCGAGTTAACAAAATCTGTTTCGTTTTATGGTATCAGTGGAAAAGCTGAAATTCGATGCAAGAAGGATTGTAAGCTTTTCAGAATAACGAGCCCTGGGTATAACATATCCCGAATTCAATTTGTCAACTTGATTATATCAACTTCAGGTGTTGCAGTTGTACTCATACCACCTCGATCGAAATTAGTATTTCGCAATGCCTTGGTCAAGGATAACATCATTGGTATAAGCGGGAAATATTCATCTGATTGCTCCATTGAAATATCAAACTCAAGTTTTGAGCATAATTACCACAAAGCAATACGTCTGCAATGTTCTAATCTCACAGTTCAAGTTAGCACCAGTACTTTCAGACTAAGTCCCGTGTCGTTCCAAAACTTTGGTTACAAGCCACATAACATCAAAGTGCTGTTCAAAAATACGCTGTTTGACGGTGAAAATACTCAAATGTGTGCTGACATGTTTACGATACGACCTCTTGCAGCTGTGGTCGACATAACAATTATTGACTCAAAATTGAGAAATCATTATTCGTTTTCATGCCCTCACGGACCGTTTTTGACATTAAAAATACAAGATTCGAAATTTAAAGCTATACCTCGAGTCCTAACATTCATATTTTTAAAGGATCTAGTAGTTGAAAACAATTTCAATAGATATCCTACAGTTCGTATACTTTCACAATTTTCCCATCCCACTTCTTTGAGAATACAAGACAGTATTTTCAGGAACAATTCGGAAGCACTTTGGGTTTCTATTAAGTCTCAAACAATGGTCCTTGAAAATAACACTTTTGTTGACAACTTCGCCTCGTTATTCAGCTTGAAGAGTGCAGCAGCGGTTTACTTTGATTTTTGCATCACCCAAGTATTATTGTGCCGTTTCCTTGACAACAAGGCTGGTCCAAATCCTAACACAGGCGTGGTGACAATCTCTCAATCGGCGAGCGTAACCTTTACTGATTGCTATTTCGAAAATCGACAAACTAGTGCACAGTCCAATCAAGTCTTTGCATTCGGAAACGAACCGTTATACTTCAGGGGTGATAATACGTTCAACTTACTTGCCTTGAAGAAGGAACAAACAGTATTTATGCGCGTACCAAATGGCGAAAAGTTTCCGCTTGGGATGTCGATAAATAAAAAATTCAAAATCCTATGCCCGCAAGGCTACACGCTAACTCTTCAAGGAAAGTACGACTCTAACATGGACCAGTTTTACTATATTAACGTCCAGTGTGATCGATGTCATACAAAAACCTACATGTTCGAAAGAGGACAGCTCACTTTCAACAAGAGCAATGGCGTTCAATGTCAGCAATGTCCTCGAGGAGGAAACTGTGATAGTGGACTGATCACAGCGAAACCGAATTTTTGGGGATATAAAAATAAGATGAATATTTCCTTTATTCAATGTCCTCCTGGGTACTGCTGCGAATCGGAAGATTGTCTCACCTTTGACAGTTGCCATGGTAATAGATCTGGAACGCTTTGTGGTCAGTGTCCAGAAGGAATGTCGGAAAGTTTGTTCTCCACACAATGTATTTCAAACACAGAATGCTCGATAAATTACATCATTATTCTTGGCACAATTGCGATACTGGCTTTATATCTCGTCTTCTTTCTTTACCAAAAAGAAATCATGAACTTTCTACGAAGAAGTCTACTAAGTAAACACTTGTCGTTCTCAGGAAACAGGCAGAACGAACAAAGAAACAATTTTAGCACCGGCGGTAATACCTATTCAGCGAATGGGATTGTTAAGATATTTTTCTACTACTATCAAGTTTGTAATTTGCTGAGAAGCTCTGTAGGTTCTCGTAAAAATAGCGAGTTTATTCACAATTTTGAGAATGTTATCTCAGGAATAATGAACATGATTCTAGTAAATGTTCCATCTTTTACTTGTCCTTTGAAAGACCTTCGTGCTGTTCCCAAGGCAGTCGTTCTACATTCTGTTGGGTATTGTATTTTGGTTCTTCTTTGTCTACTTCATTTGGTTGGTATGCTGATTCTGTTTTTAAGAAGAATAAAACGAGGAGGTGAAAGACGTTTAGTTTTGCAATATGTAGAAAGTTTCGAACAAGTTAATAGCGCCAGAAAATCATCATTTTCCCAAAGAGTTGCCTCAGCCTTCACTTACATTTCGTTATTAATGTACGCCACATCAGCTAAACTCTGTCTCTCCTTGCTTCACTGTGTACCAGTTGGTGACAGTCTGGTTTTGTTTCTTGATGGAAATATAAAATGTTACCAAACATTTCAATATTTTGTTTTTGCTTATATGATCTCTTCCATTCTGCCATTTTGTCTTGTTCCTGTTCTCGGTTCTTACTTGTTAAAGGTTGGTCGCATTGGTGTTAAACAATTTTGTGCCGCTTGCATTTTCCCTCTGCCATTTTGTTGTTTTTGGATGTATTTGTTGCTTAAGGACTGTCGTCGGGTAAATCAGGGTACATATAACATGATAGAACAGAATAACGAAGCATTAAGTCAAGAACAATGCAATGAACAGGAACAAATAACTTCAGCAACAGACGACAATAGAACCACTTCTAACAGAGGCAGTGAAGCATCGATTCTGAGTGTCTTGTTGGGTCCTTTTAGATGTCATCAAGCTTTTATGTGTTTTCCTTCTTCACATATTCCTTGGGAAGGTTTTCTCATTTTTCGTCGATTAGTCTTGATCATTGTGCTGAATTTTGTTTTTGACATTCAGCTAAGACTGTTGGTCGCTTTAATGGTATGTGTTGCCATTCTTGGTTTCCATGTGTCTGTCAATCCTTTTCAGAGAAAAAGTGACAATGTGCTGGAGTTTCTTTCTCTTAGTGCACACGTAGTCCTGTGTGGTCTGACTTTGATTAAAGCTCTTTATTACGGTGAAGATTACTCTGCCTTTTCTAATACTTTGTCGGTGTTGAATGTGATTGAAAATATTCTAATAGTTGCTCCATTATCAACCATTATGACTGTAGTCATTTTGTGTCTTGTTGTAAAGTTGGCATTTGGTTTAATACACTCCGTATCTGTGTTGATTCGGAAAGTAAGGAATCTAGTTAGGTTTACTGAGTAATTGTTTTAATTCTATTTTTCTACATTTATTAATTTTGACAGTTGTTATGAAACATGACAGTATGGTTTAATTGAAACTTAGAATAGTTAACCAGTGAATGTCATAGATATCTTATATACACTAGATAGTGCATCTAATTATTCTGCAATTCAAAAATTGAAGCCGTGATTGCAGTCTCAGGATATTCCCATGAAATGAGAAGATTCGTATGTTTTCTATTTGAAACAAGGAATTTAAACATTAAGTTAACCCTATTCCAAATACATTTTTAAACTATTCAAATTATGAAAGTATTGTTGTTTTTTTAAGCGTTTATTAGCGGGTGGGAACTAGAAGTGTGCAAATCCGATCCGAAACCGATCCGATCGGATTCGTTCGGACTTCGGAACCAAAATATTCATTTCGGTTCGGATCGATAAAGTTGTTTCTTAGTCGGATCGGATCGGACTTCGATATTTGAAATAAAATGAATTAATTATCCACGCATTATAGCAAGAATTAATTATCCCTGCATTTATCAAAGCCGCATTATCGCGGTTGTCGCTACATTATTCGTTTGATACTTCAATTGGACGTCACCTTGTCAGCTTCTTGGCATGTATTTCTTGTTTTTATATTTATTTGGTTAAGTATCTCAACTTCAAGAAAGAATTCATCGGATCGGATTGGAATTCTTTTTCAAAACTCGGATCGGATTCGGATCAGATAATTTCGGATCGGATCGGATTTTAACCATTAGGCAATTGTCGGATTATAAACGTCCAATCCGATCCGATGCACACCTCTAGTTGGAACTATCAACAGGGCCGCCATCTATTCAAATGGGGGTAACCGCTGGAATATTCTTGACTTCAATTTTACTAAAAGACATGCGCTATTTAGTGTATATAAGATATCTATGGTGAATGTAGTTTACCAATAACTTGTTATCCTACAGAAATGATCGAATATGTCATTCTAGGGATTTAAATAGTGGGAATTAATGTATAATTTTTAAGAAACGAAGAAATACTTTGTATTAGAAACGATTTAAAATTACAAAAATATTTTCCTAATATTTTCGTTTACACAGAACAGCAGTCAGAAGACAAATAATCAAACGGGCAGTTCAGTAGGTGGGTTCCACCAAGCGTTAACATAACGCAACAAATGGAAGTTCACTTCAAATGTACTGACGCTTATTGCTTTAAACCCGTTTTCTACCTGTAGGCGAATTTGTTCACGCGAAGGGAAGCGATCAAATCGAAAGTTGGATTGCTCTCTTCTTTTTCGCGGCGACTTTTTTTCGCTGACTAATCATATATATTGCTGGATTTAGGTCTCACTCCGTGGTCGCGGAAACAAATTCGCCCAGTGGAAAACGGACTTTATAGAAGCGAGCAAGTAAATTGAATGTATTTTCAAATGAAATATTGATGTCATTTGTAGGAACACGATAAAATTATTTTAGGCGATTCCCCTGTTGACCAGGAAATTGTTATTAGAGAGGTTAAGATACCCCGGTTCCGGTTTACGGGTACGGGTGATATACGCGTACCCGTATCCGTAAATCGGGGAACGACTTGTAACTTAAGAAATCCAAGATATTCCGGCGTGTGGAAACCGATCAGAGAATGGTAACTTTCGCTGTTGAGGTTCGCCATAAATTGTTGAAAACTTTGACGAGCATATGTGCATTATTTATTTGGGTAAGATGTTGAAAATTTTTACTATTTAAACGGCCCACATATAGTAAACAGAAAACACCCGTACCCGTTTGTCTTTTGGCGTGTAGACCATGGTTAACCGCGGGGAACGGGTAGAAATTACGGGTAAAAATGCTGACATCAGCAAAAATTGCTAAACAAAATGGCGATACTCGTACCCGTAAATCGGAACCGGGGTATCTTAACCTCTCTGTTATGAAATCCCCTCACAATTACTACAAAGTGTTATGTCTAATTTGAATTTGAAAGGGACAACTTTATTTCATACACCCTGTATTTCACAACTATCTGCAAGTTATTGTCTTAGAGGTTTGAATTACATACATTAAATCTACTTCAAATGCAATCACTGGCAAACTCCATAAACTTCAGGGAACATATGTCATTAAACGCAGTTAATTAATTCAAACTAGTCACTCCAATCGTATTTTTTGCGCTTGGCTTTTACCTTTTTGCTTTGTCGGAGGACAACCTTTAAACGCAATTAGCTGTTACTTTAAGACATGAACAGGAACGACTGCAAAAAATGCAGCACAAGGTCCTCTGGTAGGAATTGAACCTACGGCCCTGCGATTCCGGTGCTGCGCTCTAACCATGCAACTGAACTACAGAGGCCAGCTGTTGAGCTGTAACCGTGCAAGCTCAACATTGAGTTATGCTCCCGCGAGCATAAGAAGCTCAACATGATTCAACAATGTATTTCTAGCACAACGTAATGAACAATAGTGTGACATTGTGTGCTGAACTGTCCCAGAGGACCCTGCAGGAAAGCAGCATATAAGGATGGAATATATAAGAGATTGCTATTCAAGGCATTTCCTCAAGCCGATTAACTTCAGTTGTTATTGCAAACTGTAAATTTAAGCTTACATGCAAATGTAATGTTAGCATCTGGTGCAACATGATAATAATAGTGATGTAATTTTGCGTCCGATGTCACGGCAAATAGAGATGCCCACCTTCTATATACCTGTGTGGTGAATGAAGTTTAGCTAAAAAATAATTTATAAACGTCACGAATGTCATCATGTATAAGGAGGATTTATCATAAAGGGGGAGACACACCGAACGCGATTCTACAACGCGGCGCAATTTTTCGATTTTCACTGACCAATTACTTTGATCCCAGTTTAAGTTTTTCAAATATTTAGAGGCGCTTTAACAATTTGAGTTATTCGGTCTACATGTCTTTCAAAATTTCCTTTATTGGCTGTTTTATTAAAAAATGTGAAAAATCGTACCGCGTTGTCGAATCGTGTTCGGTGCATGTGTTTCGGCCTTAATACTATGCGAATTTTGCTTAGGGGGAAATAGAGTCTCAACCATCCTCGTCCCCAGGGCCTTTCGGCCGCGTGCGTCCTCCCTAGGCCCTGGGACACACGGAACCGGAAGTGCAAGAAAACTTGCAGTAGTTTCAAAAGCGCATGCTCTTGAATTGGGACACTTTAGCACCCGTAAGAATTTTCACAGTGAAGTATTAAGAAGAAGCGAAGTATTTGTGTTGACATATGTTGATAGAATGATTTTACCCAGCGAAAATTGCTCAACTTCTGTGAAATAGCAGTTCTCTGAGAAGCCAATCAGATCTCTTCCTTTAGTCGTCTATCCCAGAGCCTAATTTTCAACGAGTGACCGAGTGAAAATGGGGACGAGAATGAGTCTCAACCAGTTCTTTCGAAATTGTAATTGTCTTTGGCACCCAACCCTAGAGAAGTCCAGCACCACCCTAAAATAAGCTGCTTGACCATACAGTACATTTTTAGCGGAACTGCTATATACTGTTAGCACTTGTCGCTCTCTTGAAACGATTTAATTGAGTTGTGAGCCACGCACCCTGGTCCCAGAGGTAATATATAAACTGATAAAGAGTAATAAACTGATCTGATTGATGGAAAAACATTGTGATGATAAAATCAGCCAATTAGTTTAATTAAAGCAGTTTATTTTAAAGAAGTAAACGGTCACAGATTGCTTCAAAACAAAACAAACATGGCGCCGCGCTACATAAAGTAAAAGTTAACTTCGCGTGGAAAATATGGCTTTTATCTTTATTTTTCAATGAATGGAAAAGCCTTTACCTTAAACAAGACTAACAAAACTTACAATGTTGAGTGGAATTCTCAAGCTGTTAGCGTTGTATAAAGTGATATAACAAAGCCAGGAAAACTTTGCCAGTGGAATGTTCACTATGAACGTATTAAGTTAAAAATGCAATTGTCTCGAACATTTTTTTGTAAATTGTTAATAAGTATATAATAGCATGGCTTGAGGTCTTTGAAAAACTCACTCGTGCATGTTATATCCAGATTGCACTCAAAACCATGCTATTACCTATACAAATATAGACACTTGCCGTTTTAAATTGTGTGCTATCATGTATCATGAACAGTGACGTGCTGACATTCCGTGAACCGAAACATTGTATATCCAAAGCATCATTCTTAAAAAGCCAGGCTTATTCTTTTTAACATTCATTGCAATTGATACACAAAGTTATCGCCTTCCTTTCCAATGCAATTTTCCTTATCCGGATCATCACAATATGTTAAATTTTCATTGACACAATTCGTACTCTTTCCATACTTAGAGAACGTTTTCCGAGACATCGGGCCGCTCCAACATTCCCCAAAGTACTGTAAACCGAAAAAACGGAAACCTCTGTGTTTTGCCATTATCGCACAACGGCAAGCCAACCTATATATTAAAACGAAAAAATAATTTAATGTCATCAGATGAAAATAAATGTGAAAGAGCAGTACATTTTAAAATGGACACTTCCCTAGTACGGACATCTCTAATACAGACATCTTTCTAATACGGATATATCTCTAATACATGCAGATACCTTTCTAATGCGAACATCTCTCTAATATGGATACCTCTCTAATAGGGACACCTATCTAATACGGATACCTCTCTAATATGGGCAGCTCTCCAATATATGGATGATTTTTATATGTTTCATTCACTTATTTGGATACATACGTTGATAGACACTGAAGTGAGTATCTATTTTTAGATAGAATTGTCTACAATTATCAACATTTTCCGACAATCGTACAGAGATTACGTTCTCGACAACCCCTCTCAAAAGTGTATACTCTTAAGTGGCAGTCCCGCTAAGAGCGGTCCGATGACTTTGACTTCGGAAAATAGATTTCTTTTATTTTTTGTGTGTTGAAAGGCATTGGTATACAAGTGTCCAAAATAAATTTATTTTTTGAAAATTCTTTTTTATGGCTTGGCTAGACGCCGAAGCCGAAGCTCATTTTACCCGTGCAGAGCTATTTTCAAGCAAAATCAAAGGTTGAATTTCGGTAAATTGTAGAGCCGCGCTGAGTCAAAACGCCTGACTATTTCCAAATTTCAACTAGATCAACAAGTTAAGATACAATTCAGGTTCCCTGTTCCAAAAAATAAGAGCATTTTAACAAATCATGAATAAACGACAGCAACTTGACGGCACACCGGTTTTTACTTCTTGTTCGGTCTACAAAATTACACTAAAATCGAAGCCTGAGATCTCCAAATGGGGACCTAAAATTACGCTGAAATGTGCTTGGCTGTAATGATTTATACCGTATTTTCAGAAGATCTGAAGAAAACCTGCGGGTATCAATCTGTATTTGGCGCGAGTTAAGATTTTCTGGAGCCCATAATCAATGATTTTTGCAAAATTTATAGCTAATTAACATATTTCTTGAGAGGCGCTAAAAGTAAACAATTTCTTGCTGACTAACATATCTCAGA